AGCTGGCAGGTGGGGCTCTGGCTGTTTATAGATGTTAACACATTAGGTTTTGGTATCAGTTGTGTCCAGGAATAGACCTAATCCAGGTTTCCCTGGGCTCTCCTGGCACCCGTAGCCTGGCAGGGTCAGCGAGCTGGATGTGGGGCTGGTGTCCTCGGGGAGGCTGGAGGGGTGATAAGGTATTCGCTTTGATGTTTGTTGCCCCACCCAGTCTTTTGCATTCAGTTCAGCACTTCGTGGATCTCGTTACTTTTTTTCTTTGTGTGGTTTGTGAGAGAGAAGACCAGAGTTTTGTTCTTATCGCCCAGGCTGAGTGTAGGTGGCGCGATCTTCCGGCTCACCATACCCTCTACCTCCTGGGTTAAGCGTTCTCCTGCTCAGCCTCCCAAGTAGCTGGGATTACAGGCGCCCACTGCAATGCCCTGGTAATTTTTTTGGTATTTTTAGTAGAGACAGGGTTTCACCATGTTGGCCAGGCTGGTCTCGAACTCCTGACCTCAGGTGATACGCCCATCTCGGCCTCCCAAAGTATACTTTCTTAATTTAATTGACTTTGTTTTTTCATTCTTTCTTTTTTTTTTTGAGACGGAGTCTTGTTCTGGGTTCGAGTGCAGTGGCGCAATCTCCATTCACTGCAGCCTCTGTCTCCCAGGTTCAAGCAATTCTCCTGCCTCAGCCTCCTTAGTAGCTGGGATTATGGGTGCACACCACCACACCTGGCTAATTTTTGTATTTTTGGTAGAGATGGGGTTTCACCATGTTGGCCAGGCTGGTCTTGAACTCCTGACCTCATGATCCACCCACCTTGGCCTGCCAGAGTGCTGAGATTACAGGCGTGAGCCACTGTGCCCTGGCAATTTGATTTTCTGCAAGGAAAGAACTGAGCCCAGTCTTCTGGTACCACTTGTTCCCAAGTCCCCCAGTTCCTTGAACATTTTTTAATTAAAAAAATATATCTGGGTACGTTGCTGAAATTTGGAAATGACAGAAAGCAAAGCGCTGCCTAGTTCCACCCTCCCCAGTTCGTGCTCTTTCCTTTCAGTCTTAGCTAAGCATATTTTAAAGTACTTCTGTTCTTAATCTGTGAAGGGGATTTTGCTTTTCTCATATTTGGGACAATTTCCTTAGGAAAGATTCATTCATTTCTTCAATCAACAAATGTTTGCTGGGCGTCTCTGCGGTGGGATATGGAGTCCAGTCTTCAAACCTTCCCCACTTTTGTCATGTGTTTTTTACTGAGGGTGACATAATCCTTGCAGGTTTTTGTTTTTGTTGTTTTTGAGACAGAGTCTCGCTCTCGCCAGGCTGGAGTGCAATGGCGCAATCTCGGCTCACTGCAACCTCCGCCTCCCAGGCTGAAGCGATTCTCCTGCCTCAGCCTCCTGAGTAGCTGGGACCCCAGGTGGGTGCAACCACACCCGGATAATTTTTGTATTTTTAGTAGAGATAGGGTTTCACCATGTTGGCCAGGTTGGTCTCAAACTCCTGACCTCACGTGACTGCCTGCCTTGGCCTCCCCAAAGTGCCGGGATTACAGACAGGAGCCAATCCTTGGCAGATTTTGTGAAGGCCTCTACACAGACCACTGACCTTTTCTCAGATCCCACTCTTGGCCCTTCTCTCCGCAGTTGAGGGCTGGGAGGCTCCAGCTGCACGTTTGTGTCCCAGTTGCATACCTGGTGCATACCTGGTGCATACGTGGTGCAGGTTCCTGTACTTCGTGTGTTCCGTAACAGGTGATTGTTTTGCAGCCCCTACCACGCCCTACTGCTGCTCAGTGATGAGAAGTCCTTGCTGGGTGAACTTCCTATCGACTGCTCCCCTGCCCTGGTGCGGGTGATCAAGACCACATCTGCTGTGAAGAACCTGCAGCAGCTAGCTCAGGATGCGGACCTGGCCTTGCTGCAGGTATAGCTCTGGGGGCCTGGATGGGTGGCATGTGGCAGGTGCTGGGGCATCAGGAAAGGCAGGCCATCTGCCACACTACATCCATAGGGGCTCTGTCCAGCTGAGAGCTGTGGCACAGCCCACCATGGGGTGGGGCCAGTCCCTGGGATGGCTGGAGGTTTTGGCATCTGAGTCAGACCTGGGTTCAGGGCTGGCTTTGTGAATGAGCCATGGGACTGATTTGTTCTTCTGTCTCAGAGAGGTAAGACAAGTCTGTGAGAGAAAGGACTGGGGTGCTCCCAATATTGGAGGTCGAGATACCAGAGCTAGTGGGTGGACAGGGCAGGAGTGGGCAGGGTCCTGGGGGCCTCACAGTGGTGATTAACAAGCATATGGGAACTGAGGGCAGGAAGCTTGGATGCAGGGCCCTCCCATATGCAGAACAAAGACCTAACCTGGTGGCCTTACCCGCTCTGTGTGCACATGTGTTGGCCTGTGCACTCTGTACAAGATGCCACTTCTTTGCTGAGCCACATGCTTATGGGCCTGTCCATGCAAAGGGCTGCCCTTTCTGATTAGATGGAGGGCCCCTCAGCCGTGTCTGCAGATCTGGTTGGAGTGTGGGTGAAGCGTGGGAGGAAAAGCACAGGGAAGGCTGGGCACGGTGGCTCATGCCTGTCATCCCAGCCCTTCAGGAGGCCGAGGCAGGCGGAGCGCTTGAGCCAAGGACTTTGAGACTGGCCTCAGCAACATGGCAATACCCCATCTCTACAGAAAAAAACAAAAAAAAGAAAGAAAGAAAAATAGCTGGGCATGGTGGCATGCACCTGTAGTCCCAGCTACTTGGGGGTATGAGGTGGGAGAATCACTTGGGCCTGGGAGGCAGAGGTTGCAGTGAGCTGAGATCGTGCCACTGCATTCCAGCCTGGGTGACTGTGTTTCCAAAAAAAAAAAAAAGACAGGGAGAAATCAGAAGCAGGGGCTGCTGATGGGGTGGCCAACAGGCCATGGGGTCGTCTGTGGCTGCTAGTCATGTGGAGTGGCCCAGAGCCACCGGACCATTGAAGTGTTGCCTGAGGGCGGAGCAGGTGGTGCCTGTGGGTGGCGCCCTCGTCTGGTGGCGGTATGCACGGCATGGCCACCAGGGGGCAGCAGAGGCTGCCAAGGAACCCAGGCGTGAGGTGGGCCCGCCTGGGTCCCTCTGGCTGAGCTTCCATGCTGTTTTGGCCTGTGAAACAGGCCTTTGCTTCTTAGCATGTTGGGGGAACTTGTCCAGCAAGGCCTGACTCTCAGGCCACTTTTCCCCAAAAGCAGCCTTTTTGGATTCTGTCTTTGAGAGGAAGTCTCTCCCACCTCTGTGTCTCAGGGACCCTTTATCTATCCTCTGTGAGACCTTTTACCAGATTGTGCCCTTGTATTTCTTTTTTCTTTTCTGAGACAGGTTCTTGCTCTGTCTCCCAGGCTGGCATGCAGTGGTGCCATCATGGTTCACCCAGGCTCAAGCATCCTCCCAAGTAGCTGAGACTACAGGTGTGCCCCTGGCTTTTTTTTTTTTTTTTGGTACAGATGGGGTCTCCCTAGGTTGCCCTGGCTGACATCAAACTCCTGGGCTCAAGTGATCATAACACCTTGGCCTCCTAAAGTGCTGGGATTAATAGGCATGAGGCACCATGCCCAGCTGTGCCTTTGGACTTCGTGGGCTGGACAGGACCCAGTAAAGACCATGTCCTGCCCACTTTCATAGCATCCAGGAGACACAGAATTTTAAAAGAAGTCACTGCTCCATACAACCCTGCAGAGTGAGGGAGTCAGTGACCCCCCGTGTCCTGATGAGCACCGGCCACATGGTAAATGCGTGTGGCAGTTCACAGGTCCTGTGTTGAGCTTTTGAAAGGAGCTGGGCCTGGCTTTCCTGAGGCTGTCTGGCAGGAGTTTGTGCTGGACACTGTGCCTCTCATCCTTGCTATCAGAGTCTCCTTGGACAAAGCTTTGATGTCCTCTTCTGAGGTTGTCTGGCAGGAGTTTGTGTGGACACTGTGCCTCTCACCCTTGCTGTCAGTCTCCTTGGACAAAGCTTTGGTCTCCCTTTGATGTCCCCTTCACTTCCCTGCCGTGGCCTTGACTGGGGAGAGGGAAGGCTGTCATTGTTTTCCTGTGTCTGTAAGCCTTCCCTGCTGTCCCTGCTGCAGGTCAGCAGAGCTTTGCTGCTGGTGTGGCAGTGCACAAGCCCCTGGGGCCCATCCCTGATGGGTCACTCTGTTTCCTTGAGATAGTCCCCTGGGGAGCATCTGCCTCAGGTGTGAATGTCACCAGGTAGTTTAAAGTCCCTTATGTGGCTGGGTGCAGTGGCTCATGCCTATAATCCCAGCACTTTGGGAGGATGAGGCAGGAGGACTGCCTAAACCCAGGAGGTCACGACCAGCCTGGACAACACAGGAAGACCCTGTCTTTACAGAAGATTAAATAATTAGCTGGGCATGGTGGTGTGTGCCTGTGGTCCCAGCTACTCAGGAGGCTGAGGTGGGAGGATCACTTGAGCCCTGGCGTTCGAGGCTGCAGTGAGTTGTGATTGCACACACTTCCAGTCTGGGCAAAAGAGCAAGACCCAGTCCCAAAAAATAAAATAAAATAAAATAAAATAAAATAATTCATGTTTACATCAATCCAGAGAGAATCCACAAGTAAATTTTGGGTTTGTCATGATAAAATTAATGTTATAAGACTTCAAACACTACACAAATTATAGACACAAAAAGTTCCCACAGTCCCATATCCCACAGGTAACCTAGATCCCTCCAGGTTTTTTATCTGTGTGTGTGTGTGTGTGTGTGTGTGTGTATACAAACATTTTATTTTGTATTATGAAAATCAGGATCGTGCTGTACATTCATTGTGATTGGCTGAATAACGGCCCCCAGAGACATACACATCCTAATCCCCAAAATCTATGAATGTGAACTCATGTGGCACTTTGGAGATATTACTAAGTTAAAGATCTTAAGATGGGAAGATCATCCTGTTAAGCCCTAAATGTAATCACTAAGGCCCTCATCAGAGGGAGGCAGAGGAAGCTCTGACTGAAAAGAGGCAGCAACGTGACCACAGAGAAAGAGTGGAGTGATGTGGCCACAAGCCAAGAGACACTGGCAGTTGAAGAGGCAGGACGAATTCTCTCTGGAGCTTCCAGAGGGAGCCTGGTCCTGCTGGCACTTTATGCTGGCCCTGAAGTACTGATTTTGGACTTTGGATTTCCAGAATGGACAGCATCTTGGAGAGGCTGCTGCAGGGAGAGGCAGGTGGAGGAGACCACTATGCTGAGCAGAGCTGGGGGAAAGTGGGTGTGTCTTTTTGAGAGAGCACATGCCAGTGGCACGTGGGGTGACGCAACAGGGTGGTGATGGAACTGAAACCTGCCATGTTGGGGTTAGCAGTGCCATTGGAGGCACCACTCGCACAATCTCGGCTCACTGCAACCCCCACCTTCCAGGTTCAAGCAATCCTCCTGTCTCAGCCTCCGAGTAGCTGGGACTACAGGCATGTGCCGCAGTGCATGGCTAATTAAATAAAAATTTTTGGTAGAGATGAGGGTCTCACTATATCGCCCAGGCTGGTCTCGAACTCTGAGGTTCAGGGGATCCTCCTGCCTTGCCCTCCCAAAATGCTAGGACTACAGGCATGAGCCACTGCTCTCAGTCTGGAGGCCCTGTTTTCTGAGCCGAGGTATAAGTGTCCTTAGCAGCAGGCAGCACTGTGTCCAGGCAGGGGTGACTCACCCCCACAGAGGCCTACTGGCCAAGAGGGTGGAGTGGTGTCTTGGGGTGATGCAGAGGCAGAAGTGCAAGTGCTTAGGATTGCACACACCTTTTCATGAAGTGCTGTGGTGCTGTGCTCTCAGACCTCAGGCCTGAAGTTTCCTCTGGAAGGGGTTTTGGGTGTGTTTGTGTTTCCTGCTGTTCAAGGGTCCACAAGAGCAAAGCTGGGAGGTGGGGCAGACCTGGGGCCTTTGGGTATGTAGGAGGGGCATGCTGAGTGACTCCACACCCATCATTGGGGCAAGGCCATGCTGGAGTTTTAGGGGGTATGAGAGGGCTGTGCCCTGCCAGGACATCCAGCTAAGACCCCTGCCCAGCTGGGCCAACCCTGTGTTCCCAGCACCCCAGACATTCCCATGCTTGTGGCCTGAGACCACCATTCTTCAGTGGGAGTCAAGACAGTGGCACCAAACAGCACAGGGAGCAGTGATAAAAAGGCCATTGTGGCCAGGTACAGTGTCTCACGCCTGTAATCCCACACTTTGGGAGGCTGAGGCGGGTGGATCACGAGATCAGGAAATCGAGACCAACCTGGCTAACATGGTGAAACCCTGTCTCTACTAAAAATACAAAAATTAGCTGGGCATGGTGGCATGTGCCTGTAATCTCAGCTACTCGGGAGGCTGAGGCAGGAGAATCGCTTGAACCTGGGAGGTAGAGGTTGCAGTGAGCTGAGATTGCACCACTGCACTCCAGCCTGGATGACAGAGCAAGACTGTCTCAAAAAAAAAAAAAAAAACCCGTTGCTCACAGAAAGTGCTGTGTGCTGTGTGCTGGCTGTGCCCCATGTCCTAGTGAGAGGTTGGGAAGGTGCTGTTCCACGTTAGGGAGGAAGCCGCGGGCCACAGCCACCACGTGTGTTCTGCACGAGCCTGGGACCAGCTTCTCCGGGCTGCTAGGCCATGGCCACCCATGCTGAGAGCTTCTGACAGCTCCCAGTGGGCCAGCCTCAGGCATGGTCCTTGCAGCTTCCCCTCTGCCTGCAGGTTTTCCAGCTTGCAGCTCATCTGGTGTACTGGGGCAAGGCCATCATCATCTACCCGCTGTGTGAGAACAACGTCTACATGCTGTCTCCCAATGCCAGCGTATGTCTGTGAGTGCTGCTGGCTGCCAGAGCCTGGAGCCCTGAGTGGGAAGGGGTGAGGCCGGCAGGGCCCTCCAGATGCTGTTCTCTGTGTTGGCCAGGCACCAAAGGCTGTGGAAGCCCCAAGGCCAGGCTCTCACTTCAGCCTAACTCCTGGCCACCAGCGTGCCCAGGTTCCAATTCTGGTCTGGCTCTGTGCTGTGTGACTCTCCTGTATCCCCCCTATGCCAGGCCCCCTCCTCCAGGCTGGCTCTCCTAATCCACCTTGAGGGATCAGAGGTGAGATGCAGGGTGAACTGTGCCCATGGCTCCTGCTGCTGCTCAAGGGGAAGTGCCCAGGTTCTGTCCACCTGGAGGCCTGCCTGGCATCATACCGTTCTGCCCTCATTGCACCGTCCTGGCCCACCTGCCACACTTTACTTCTCTGCTGCCCACTGAGGCCAGTGTTGAGAACACAGTGGGAGGTCTGAGAACACGGTGGGGGTTCTGCTGCACTCACTGGCATGCTCGTCTGCCTCCAGGTACTCCCCGCTAGCCGAGCAGTTCTCCCATCAGTTCCCATCTCATGACCTGCCGTCCGTCCTTGCCAAGTTCTCCTTGCCGGTCTCCTTATCAGAATTTAGGAATCCCCTGGCCCCCGCTGTGCAGGAGGTGAGTCACAGAAGCTCAAGGAGCCTGGAGTGGCAGGTGCGTAGTGGATAGGCACTACCTGCCTGGCTGTTGGTTCTGATCTGAGCCCTTACCACTGCCAGCTGCTTCTCCTTGGTTTTGGGGGCTTGCCATGCAAGTGCTATGTGCTCAGCAGGGCCCAAAAGTCAGCTGCAGATGCTTGGCCAGTGACCCAACACTTGGGCAGTTGTCCCCTCCCCATAGAGCCCACCCTGGCTGTGGCAGGCAGTTTTTAGGGTTAGAACTGAGTTGAGCTTGGCAGGAGAGTGCTTACCTTTTCTGGCCCTACAGACCTGCCTTGTACCCCTTTGGGACTGGGGACTGCCTACAGATGAGGGTGCAAAGGCAGCTTTGTTCTCACTGGGCCGGGGCCTGACCCTCTGAGAGTTTTGCTTCTGCCTTCACTCCCTGCCATGGCTCAGGTGGCCACAGGGTCTGTGGGTATGAGTTCTGGGGTCACTGGTCCCCAGAATCTCCTCATCCAAGAGAGCCTAGAGAAGACCCTAGTGGGCCTGGGTCAGGGCAATGGGCAGGCAGGTTGAGAGCTAGGAGTGGCTGGGGGATAGGAGGCCTCCTGCAGATCTGTGGGATGGACTGGTGCACCGGTATCTGTAGCAGGGCCAGTGGCTTCCCCTGTGGGCTGCAGGTGTCACAGCCTCGTGCTGAGGTGGCTTTGCCATCCTCCCCTCCACTGAGTTCTGGGCAGAGACTCAGAGCAGGGCCAGATAGGACAGAATGTTGGAGACAGACGTACTGGGTGTTCTCACGTCTTTGTCTCCAAAAGTATTTGAGTAAGTGCCAGATCTATTAGGCAAAACCAGTCCTTAAAGTCAAACCCTTTCCGTTCTCAAATTGTGAATGAGAATAAGATTCTGGTTTTTCAGCTCCTTTAGATGCCAAACCTGACAGAGTTCTTAGTGCGGTCTTTCATAGAGCCCTTGGTTTCTGGGAGCTGAGCCAGATTGTATCAGCTGAATAAGAGGCACTCTCTGCACCCCTTCTCTTGGGCCAGTGCTTAGGGAGGAGCTGCTGGTGCTTCCATCCCAGAGACCTCCTGTGGTCTAGATGACGGGGTGGCTTTTCCAGGCCATGACTGAGTGGTTGCTCCAGGCCTTGTCAAGGGCCTAGATGGAGCCAGGTTCTGCCTGGGCTCCAGTGCCGGAAAGCCCCTCAGTTTTATTTTTTGTTCATTGATTTTATTTATTTTTGATTGCACTCCAGGCTGGAGTGCAATGGCATGATCTCGGCTTACTGCAACCATTGCCTCCCGGGTTCAAGCAGTCTCCTGCCTCAGCCTCCCAAGTAGCTGGGATTACAGATGCCTGCCACCACGCCTGGCTAATTTTTTGTATTTTTAGTAGAGACAGGGTTTCACCATGTTGACCAGGGTGGTCTCGAACTCCCGACCTCAGGTGATCCACCCACCTCATCCTCTCAAAGTGCTGGGATTATAGGTGTGAGCCACTATGCACAGCTTTTTTTATTGTTTTGATATAGAAACTTGCTCTGTTGGCCGGGCGCGGTGGCTCACGCCTGTAATCCCAGCACTTTGGGAGGCCGAGGTGGGTGGATCACCTGAGGTCAGGAGTTCCAGACCAGCCTGACCAACGTGGAGAAACCCTGTCTCTACTAAAAATACAAAAATTAACCAGGCAAGGTGGCCCATGCCTGTAATCCCAGCTACTCGAGAGGCTAAGGCAGGAGAATTGCTTGAACCCGGGAGGCGGAGGTTGTGGTGAGCTGAGATCGCACCATTGCACTCCAGCCTGGGCAAAAAGAGCGAAACTCTATCTCAAAAAATAAATAAATAAATAAGTAAAGTATTTAAAAAAAAAAGAAAGAAACAGGACTTGCTCTGTTGTCCCAGGCTGAAGTTGCGGGGCATGATCTTGGCTCACTGCAAACCTCCGCCTCACCTGTTAATGTGATTCCCCCCTGCCTCAGGCCTCCCAAGTAGCTGGGGGGATTCCACACGGCCCATGTACCCAGCCCACCATGCGCCCTGCCAAGCCTAAAGTTTTATACTTTTAGTAGAGATGGGGGTTTCACCATGTTGGATCGAAGGCCTGGTTAGCCGAACCCTCCGAGCCTCAAGTGATCCACGGCCGCCTCGGCGTCCAGAAGTGCTGGGATTACAAGCGTGAGCCACCAA